TATATATATATATTCATTATTTACCGCTTCAGGGTTTAAAATTTTTAAGAAGTCAAAAGCTTTTAAAAGGTATATTATTTTTTAAATAATAATATAATATTTATTTTTCAAAGACTAAATCGAGTTCGGTCATAATTAAAAATGTGTTTGTATACTGCAAGTAGGTTTAATTTTATTAAAATTTTTTCTATTAATTTTTAAAACGGAGAAAAATTATTTGAAAATATTACTCGATGTGTATAAGAATAATTAAGAAGCATTAAAACTCTTCACGCACGGTATGGGAAAGTTCATAAAATGCTGTAGTTTCGGTAGAATCGTAAAATTAAAGTGGTAGAATCAATAAAATAAAATAATATTACCGACTTTAATTTGTGAACAGATTATATGCAAAATGCAAGCCCATTTTGAAATTTTCTTCTGCATCAGAAAATTCGCGGTACAAAGTTTCAATTATTTCCTAATAGATGACGCCACCATTCAAGTTATTTTATTAAAAAAAATGACGGAATATCACTGCTTGAGTCTTGTGCCATCTATAAATGGAAAGAACAACTAAATATTTATCTAAAAAGATTCACTCTGTCTTAAATTATTTCTTTTCGTCATAACTTATGGTTTTAAAATGATTAAATTGTTCATAACAGATAAAAATAAACACTAGATTTAATTTTTAGATATAGAAAAATTAGAAAAAAAATGATAATAATAAATAAATTAATTAAAGGAATGATTCCAACGATGGGTAGTCTTTTCTTAAGTCGAATATGAATCGTAATTATTTTTTAATTTTAAATGAGAAAACTTCTTAAGAAAATAATTGAGCCAATGTGTCGGTACTTTTTTCTATTAAAACCTTTTAATTTTTCTTCCATTTTTGTTGGTAATTTTATCTGTTTTTTTTTTTTTTTTTTTTTTTTTTTTTTTTTTTTTTAAGCATGATACTTTTTTTAAAAAAAGTGCTAGGACTTTTAAGATAAATTATATGAATAAAATATGAAACTTTATGAAAAGAATTAAATGCCCTCCCAAAAATCTAGATAAATATAAAACTAGTGTTTATATTTATCTAAACTAGTGTTAAACTAGTGTTATATAGTATTATAAAACTAGTGTTATATAGTGCGAACTCATAGAATTAATACGCATTATATCAAGTAGGTATTTTTATTAATTTTCACTTATGGACTCATTAATTAGTGTGTATGACAAAATTTTAACGTAGTAGCAAATATGTTTGGTGAAAATAATCAAATCAATTTTTTGTTATAATCAATTGAATAAAATGACAAAGCACTTTATCTGATAATTAATTACGTTAGTTTCTTGATCATTATAACAAAAAATAGGTAACAAGCTGAACAAAATAATTTCTGGGGAAAAAATTAGAGGAATTTACTATATTTACCAAATTCCCAGATTATAGTGATAAATGATTTCTTAACGATCTAAAAATTTCTTAATTTTAAATATTTCAAAAATTCTGCGCATGAAATTGCGATTATTTTACAGTTTGATCTACATAACAGTAAAATAACAAGTAGATAGAACTACTATAATCTCGAAATAAAATTTATTCCTTTAATTTTGAGCAGATTGACTGAATAATTTCAGAAACCTGATTTATCTATTGATAAATCATCTGTCTTATTTTCAAATTAATTTCATGCTTTAGTTAAATTTTCTAGTTTTTCGAATGAAACAAATTCTTAATAATGTATTTTGATATAGTCTATTTAGTTATAGTTATTATTTAGACAGTACAAAATATTTCTTCTATATAGAAAAAATACACATTTTTATTGCACATTTATTACAAATTTTCCAAGAATTTCGCATGTCGCAAGACACAAAAAAAAAATCTTATAGTTTATTTTTAAACCAATATGTTTTTTTTTTCGTTAAATTAGGTAGCCCCACACTCAGTTTTATTGAATATATACCTATAGTGTTGAGGAGCGTGGTCTTCCACAAATACTGATACAAAAATATGCACAAGTACTGAAGCAAAAATAATATATATGATGATATCATTCATATAATCCATAACCTTATTTTGCTTCTCATCGTTAAGATCATAACGTTCCTTAAGAAACAGCAAAATGGCAATTAGAACCTAAAAAGAACAAAAAAATATAAAATTGTTACTTCTATAATAATATCTAAATAAATAAAAAATAGATCCCAGCCAAAAAAAAATAAATAACAAAATAAAATAAGATTTTTTACAGCGCTAGAAGGCACCTCCGGGGTTGCTTTTTATTCATTTTCTTCTGCGTAAAAGTCGATCGAAAATTCCATTTCGTTTATAAATTTTATCGATAACTGTTAACTTTATGTAAGCACATTTTCTCAATATGTTAATATGTTTATAATGGAAGAATACCTGGTTTTGAAAAATAATCAACGGTACTCGGAAAAAAAAGAGGTAAAAAGGTTTAAAGTATCGTACAGAAAATACGATACAGTAAAGGGAAGAACAAAAATGAGGTCGAAAAACTTTGTTGTTGTACCATAAAATTTTTTTAAAAGATTAGGATAAAAAAAAACAGGTTTTTTTCATTTTTAAAAAACACCCTTTTGAGATTTTTGTAGCGAAATCATATGATAACGAACATTATGAAAAAAAGGGGGGGAAAACTGGAGTCTGAGAGAAGAAAATTTAAAAAAAATTTCTTTTTGCTATAAAAAAACCTGAATTATTTTGACTAACAATATTTCCTTATTTTTATTAAAGATATTTAAAAGAATTTTTATGAAAGGAATTTAAAGATATAGAAAGACTTATATTTATTTCGATTTAAAAAAAAAACTTTCTTCTTATTTTTTTCTAATTGAATGATATGGCATTCAATATTATTGGGAAAAAAATGAAGTTAAAAAATTCGCCTTACGTGCTATAAAAATATCCTGAAATATTTCCTAAACATCACTTTTAACTTTTTTAATCACCAAAATAAAACATTGTCTTGCTTTTTTTTATATTAAAGACTTGACATTTAACAATAGAGAGAAAAAAATTTCAATTCAACTGAGGTTTTTGTGCTATAAAGAATCTTTTTTCGTGATCAGAAACAAAAGCAAAAAATTCTTCTTTGTTAATTTTATTTTAGAAAAATATGACATTTAATATAATAAGAAAAAAAAGTATCAAAAAACTTTGTCTTTGGGCTGTAACAAAAAAATCTCGAAATATTTTGACTACATACCAATTATTATTTTTTTTTACTACCGAAAACTAAAAAAAAAATCCTCTTGATTTTTTTATATTGAAAAATATTGAATTTAACATTCGAGAGCTAAGTTTGAGGTCAAATAACTTTGATTTTGTGCTATCAAAAATTATTTTGGCTCAAAACCTTTTTATGGGATTTTAATTATCAAAAAAAATAATAAAAAAAAATACGTCTGGATTTTTTTTTATTGAAAAATATGACATTTAACATTATGAAAAATAAATTAAGAAGATCAAAAAATTCATTTTTGTGATGTAAAAAATTAATCTTCAATTATTTTGATTAAATACCAGTTTCGTTACAGACTAAAAACAAAAAACATATCCTTTTGATTTTTTTATATTAAAAAATATTACACTTAACAATGCGTTTAACACTTAACAATGCAAAAATTAAAACCACGATTTATTTTTTAAAGCCAAAATACGAAGACCTTCTTGATGTTTGATGTTTAACATGATATTAACCATTATGAGAACATATTAAATGTGATATTTAACATTATGAGAAAAGAAATTGAGGTAAGGAAAGTAATTACTTCTCAGTAAAAAAAAAATTTGAAATTTGCTGACAAATTCTTCGAAAAATAATTTCAACAAAACTTTTTAAAAACTTGTATTAAAATTTTAAGCATTTTATTTGCTTTAATAGCATAGTGTAAACTTTTCTTTCGAAAGATACCGAAATGTTAGCAAATTTCGATTAAAAATATAGACATTTTTGACATGAAAGTCATTATTTGTAGCTAAGCCATTTTCTTAAATTGAATTGAAGTTCAAAATGGCCCCCTAAAAAGTTTCACGAAAATCTGTGACGTGACGGCGTTAAGATTTTTTTTTTATTTGGATCTATTTTACTAGGAATGAGCCCCAACTAAAAACATGCATACATATTTTAATGGCGAACTTTTATTTCTGTAAATATATAGCAGCATTAAAGGCAACAAATAAATGTCGCCAACGTGTATTAAAATGTATTCAAATGTAAGCAATCTACAGACGATGTCCAAAGTGCACTAACATTGGCGCTTTCGGAAGCAAAGATATTTAATGCATAGTGTGAAAGCGCGAGAGACGTTTATAAACTTTTCGACTTATAAAACTTTTAGAATTATTAACATCCATTAAACTGTATATGAAATCTCGATTTGATGCTAACGTGAGCAAAGAAAAATGTTCCTTCCCACTAAATTTTTGCGTTGCTCAACATTAAATTTTAAGAGGTAGTACACAATGGTTTTTACAGAGAACTAGTTATAATTATTTTGATTTAATTAGAAGAAGGTTGGTACCAACGGACCCTAAAAATCATCAAAGTTGACAATCTAATAATTTTGTACATCTTAATGTAAGTAGCATTCTTAAAAACAAACGCATCTGGAAATAAACGTTACAAGTGCATTGATCTGCATAAAGCGTCACGTGTGAGTATAAATTGTGAGATTTAATTATGTCACAATTCAAAAACCAATCGAACTTCACACATGCGCGTAAAATCCCTCGCAGTTATCCAAATTATTGATCATGAAAATTAATTACCCAGAAAATTGATTCAGCTCGATAATAAATCAAACATAATAATCTTATCATTAACACGACATGCACAATCACGTGATTAGGCACATGCATGTGATTTCAGCGCTATTCTATTATCTTCGTTGCAAATATCCAATTATGAATTGTAAAATAAAAATAAGAGCCATTTTCCAAATTACGGACTCCAATTGATTTTATTGTATCAGAGAATTGTCATAAGCGAATCATCAGCTATTTTAATATTCATTATTATATCCCTTTATTACAATTCAATGAAACATTTTAAAACTGTTGTGATCATTATTTGTTAATGCAAATGCGAGTCAATTATTGAAGATAAAGAAACCGATAGTAAAATTAGATTATTGAATTCTAGATTTATTAACTGGCGGATTTTTACTAAGATACAATAATATTTTATTGTATATTGATTTCCTTAAAATTGGACAAGCAAAAGCACTGAAGAAATCAGAATTATTCGAGAAATATTTGTGTCTTGAATTTCTTTCAGTAGCCCTATAAAAATGAAAATTTTTCTTAATAAAAGAAGGAAGTTACTACTCATAATTATTATTAAAAATACATTAAACTGATTACAATTATTTGAGCGTGTTTTGAAACTACAGATGTTTTTTATTATAAAAAAAATCATAAAATATATGAATCATTAACACTTTAGCTCTAACCTTTCAATAAAGACGAAAATCTTTAAAATGGTGTTTGCTCAAGAAAGAAATAACAATTTTTTTTAAGAAAAGTATTGATTTCATGTCAAGTATAGGTGATACACAATATCTTTTTCCATTTCATCCATGCTATTGCGTTTATGAAATTGATTCATGAACATAGTAACTTGTTGCTATGTCTTGGCAAAACAATACAAACCTTTTGCACAAACATGGCTCTTTTTAAATAATTAGTAATTAAATCAAGGAAAAAAATTACCAATTTTTTACACCTTATGTAAGATACATAACTATAGGTTAGCAGATAATTGACAAGTGGCAGTTATTGACAGCTATAAACATGATGTAAATTATCCCGTCAAGAAACCGTTTATCAAATATTTAGGCTGAATATATATATATATAT